GAAGAGATCTGTGACTTTCAACTGTTGTGGGTCATAGGTTATGATTTTATAAGGCAGTTGTTTTGAAGCAAAGCAAAAGTGTGAAACTGACTTTTTCTTATTTGAAATGCTTTTTATAGTTTATTATGACTTAATCTTAACTTGATTATATCTGCAAAAGACCCTGTTCCCAAATAAGGTCAGTGTTGCAGGTAGCGAATGACTTCAGTGCCTCTTGCTGGGGCACAATTCAGAGTCCTAATAGTATTCAGTAGTGGAAGAGAAACAGCCTAAGATAAATTGAGGAAGGGACTGCAACAATATTTGTATCTTTTTTATCCTTTTTGCCATTGTTTTCAAAGACCTGCCTCAGGCTATTTGTGAGAAATTTGTAGCTTCTCTTTGGAGCATTTTCCCACTAACTTATTATTTCAGAAGTCTTCTCAGTATATCTTCTCAGACCAGAAACTAAACAAACAAACAAACCCCCCAAACCCATAACTAGTTTTGTTTTATGGCATTTGCAGATAAAAAGAGGTTCCAAATTGTATGCCATTGCTAAGGGTATGACACAAAAATTTCACCTTTTTTGACTTTAAAAAAATTTCTTCTGATCACACTTCTATTTGCAAAGCAATTGTACTATAACATTGTGAAAATCTTTATAGTAATTATAATGTAACATTGTGAAAATGTAAAATAGTTATAACAGCAGAATATGTAATATTAAAAGTTAAGCACCTGAACTGCATTCCTTCATTTATACCATAGAATGATCCAGTGAGGTGAAGACTATTACTCTTCTTCCTCCATATCTCCAAACTGAGTCTTGTTGAAGTGTAGGTATTTTATCTGAGAGCTTCATGGTAACTGGTGAAGAAGGGTTTGAATCTGACAGTTCTACCCTACATAAACTGTCATCCTCTATGCTGGTCTGTCTCTCTGCCTCTTCCCCCACCCCCAATCTTTGTGAAATTTTGTATCTATATGATATTTTACTTAAATTTTTTGAGATACTTGTGGATTCACAGTTGAGGGGAATAATAGAGAAAGATTCCTTTTATTCTTTACTTTGTTACTCTCACTGATAACATCATGCAAAATGGTAATATGGTATCCCAGCCAGTATATTTGCATTGATACCATCAAAAAATGCAACAAAAATTGCTCTTGTGGCCCTTTTGCAGCCACATGTATCTCTCCCCCGCCACAGCCCTCCCTTCTTCCTTAGCAACCACTAATCTGATCTCCATTCTGTACTGCTGTGATCTCAAGAATGGAACATAGCCTTTGGGATTTGTGTTTTTGTTTGTTTGTTTGTTTGTTTTTAATCACTGTGTTCCCCAGAGGGAGGTTAATCTGGGTTAATCCAGACTGTTGGATGGATCAGCAGATCAGCAGTCTGTTTTATTCCTGAATGGTATATTAAAATATGCGTATACCACTGTGTAATATTAAGGGACTTCTAACTTGTTTCCAGGTTTTTGCCGTTACAAATAGAGTTTCAGTGAAATCACTGGAAAAATTTTTGAGTAAAGATAAGTTTAGTGAATCCTAAGAATGAGATTGCTATAACGTTTGTGGAGTTTCTTGTTTAGTTTTATAAATGAAACTGCCACAGTGTTTCTCAATGAAGTCCCTGAGTTGAATTGAAATGCATGTTTTTCTTTTTTTCTAGGACTCATTCTTTATTATTTATATTTAAAGAATGTAGTTTTTGGAATTTCTACTTGCCAAAAGTGACCCTAAAGATACTGTATCAAATTCAGTTTACAATGTTTTTGAGGCATGTCTTAAGACTGTTTTCCTCCTCCCCCAACCCAGAATACATCACTTTTTTTGTGGATAAGCCCAGTGGTCTGTTCAACTATTTATCATAGTGAGGTAATATTTTTCTTTAGTCATTAACTCTGTGTTAAAAGAAAATATATTTTCTACTTATGATTTAAATAGTTATTAGTAAACTGATACTTTAGTTTTCTAAATTTAATGCAACACCTAATTTTGTCCTATAATAAGCCTTCTAAATTTTCAGTGAAAGTACACAAGTTCTATTACTTTCTTGTTCTCCATTAAAATTAATTTTTGGATGTTCCCTTCACAAGAATCCCTTGTAAACAGCTCTTGTGGTAAATGGGTGTCTCTGCACAATGTCTAGAGTACAGCCTTACCCACAGGACCAATACCATATGTGTTTATTTCTTAACTCTTGTACATAATGTCTTAACTCAATGCTCAGTGTTGCTATGATTTTCCTATATTGTGTTTAATGGCACCTGCATTGACTATTTGATTTCACACATAGTTTAGGAGTGCATTTTTTAGAGTTGCAGAATATTTATTTGTAAGTAATGTTCATAAATGAAAATAATTTTTAAATCATTGTATATACTTTAACTTCCAATTAGGTAACAGGCATTTAACATTACATATTATGGGAAATCAAAGTTAAAATATAAAAGTTAAGAAATAAGTGCTCAGTCAGAAAATTTGAAGTTTTTAAAAAATAAATGACCAGTAAGTAACCTACCACTTTTAATAATTACAAATAATAGTGTGTTTTTTTTTTATGTATTTCTTTATTTTTGTATGTAACCACTGTTCTTCCAGTTTGGGATGGAATTATCAAAGGAAAACTACACTAAATCTTAGGAAGGTAAATAAGTATATGGATTGATTCTGTTAAATGATCATGAACTTTGTTAACAATGAGCATTACGTGCAGAAGAGAACTTTAATGTTGAAAATGTTATGAATTAGTAAGATATCATGTTGTCTTAGTTCATTTTCTGTTGCTATCATAAAATACCCCAAGTTGGGTATTTTAATAAGAAAATAGGTTATTTAGCTCACAGTTTGGAAGATCCTAAAGCATGGCATTGGTACCCGCTCTGCTGAGCTCCTCATGCTGTGTCCCTTCATGATGAAGTGGAAAGGGAAAGTCAGCCTGTGTGGGAGAGAGAGGCGAGGGGAGGCTGACCTGCTTTATAACAATCCAGGCTAGTGGTAAGGATTTCAATTCCACAAAAACTAACTCATTCCCATGGCATGTTATCCCGTCTCAAGAGAAATAACCCAGTCTCTAGAAAAAGACCTCAATTCATTCATGAGGGTAGTTCAACTGTGCTGTAATCACCTTCCCCAGGCTTTACCTCACACAGTACCCAACACCTGCCAATACTGTAATAGCTAGGACAAGTTTCCAGCAGGAACGTTTGACAAACACCATAGCACATGTGTGTGAGGTGAGCCATGTGATGAGTCCTCATCATTGACTGTGTTGATATTTTGGGCCAGATAATTCCTAATTGTGGGTGTCTGTCCTGTACAGCAGCAACATTCCTGGGCCAGGAGTTTTACCAGGAGTACCCCTCCCTGCAAGTGTTTACATTTTAAAACACCTTCAGGTATTGCCCCCTGGGGGCAAATCTCCCCTGTAGAAAAACCACTGAATTTGAATGAAATGTGGTTTGGAACAAGTTAGCACCTCTTACAATGCCGAGAAAACACATACATGTTTCAGCATGTGTCCCTGGTGGTTGTCAACAGATTACCCTAATTTTAATTAGGTAATAAAATAAATTTTATCTTTCTACACCAGAGCTTACACACTAACAGATGAGCTAGGTGCTCCTCCTCTTGCCCTTGGAGGCCAGCCTGGTTCTGCCAATTTTTGTCAAATCAGTGTTTGTAGTACATCATAGAGTTATATTTTGTTTAAACCTCATAATGGAAATCATGACTTCAAAAGATTGAAAAGTCTCTTATCTGACTGAGATAATGTCCACTCCAGTATCTCACACAGTGAAGTCCTCAGTGAATGATTGGATGAAAAACATTTCGTGAGTGTTGTATGGGATTGAGCAGGAGTTTGGATAGGTAGATTTTGATTCCTAAGAGAAATTTCTGATTTATCTTTGATGTCCTAAATTTCCCACCTATACACTGTTCAGTCACTATATTTCAGATTTTTTTTTTTTCATTTAAACCTTCTCTTGAATATTTGTGTCACTTTCTACCAGGTATTTGAACACTGACTGAGCTAAGTATCTCTGCTCCAGTCCCCAGCCACTGCCAAACTAATTGTTTGAAAAATAAGTTTTGCTGAATTGAAAGATCTCCTAGTCCCTCTATACCTGTCTCCATCTTATCTGTTAAACTTTATCTCTTACTCCTGGTAAAAGAAAGCTATTCAGCATACCAGATTTTCCCCCTGATTCCTTAATGCACATGCTCAATTCTGTTCTCTGCGTTTGCTTATGTTTTTAGCCTTACATGGAATGAAAATGTTTCTTCCTGTCACCTGATCGTCCTCTTACTCATAGCTCTTGGTTGTATGAAATTCCCTCTGGCACAAGGCTATTCATACCTCCTGTACTCCATATTTATCTCTACTTGCTTTTTGTTCTTAAAGCACTGATATAGGCATTAATTAATTAATATGAATGCATACTCATTTTGGTTCTTAGTAATAAATGACTTTGTTCAAGATGATAACTAATGTTTTTTTGTGTGCATTTTGCCAGCCCACCTCACCTAATTAGTAAAATTCCTGGAAGACAGGTGTTTTGTGCTTTTTACATTTTTTAGCATATTATTATATGCATAACAAGTATTCAGTAGTGACTTACACTAATGGCTATTCAGACATGGACTGTATTTTAATTCTGTTTTAAAGGGGCTTGTAGAAACTGATAACTACCATGTATGGTCCCAGATTTAAGTTGAGAATTTCTGAGTGTATTGAGAAAACAGGTGTATTATCTTAGATGAGAAACTGGAAGTAGAGATGCCTTGAAAAAGGAAAATGAAATGACAGTTTTTAAAATAAATGTGTTTAACTGTAAGGGATATATATGAATTGCAGTGCTATTAATGTCATTATGGAGGTGAAATGCATGGCAGTTTGAGCTGCTGGTAATGTAAACGAATAGATGTAAAAATAGTAGTCGACATGTTTAATAAGGTATTTGAATACAGAGTTCTGACTGATCTTGATTTTCTTTTTTTCAAACACTCAGATACCTCTCGCAAATGGACATTTGAAGGTGCCATTGTCATATTCTTGCAAGCATGGAGACCTCATCGATGCTCTCCTCACTGAATGAGGAGTGTAAATCTGACAACTACATTGAACCTCACTATAAGGAATGGTATCGAGTGGCCGTTGATACCCTGATTGAACATGGATTAGAAGCATACCAAGAATTTCTTTCAAAGGAACGAGTTGCAGACTTCCTAGCTGAGGAGGAAATCAATTACATTTTGAAAAATGTTCAGAAGGTGGCACAAAGTGCAGCGCATGGTACTGATAATTCCTATGATGATACCTCATCTTCAGGGACTTACTGGCCCATTGAGTCTGATGTGGAAGCTCCAAATCTTGATTTAGGCTGGCCATATGTTATGCCTGGACTCTTAGGGGGCACCCATATAGATCTCCTCTTTCATCCGCCAAGAGCACACCTGCTTACAATAAAGGAAACTATTAGGAAGATGATAAAAGAAGCAAGAAAGGTAATCATATTTTTATTTTGAAATGAAAACAATTTGATATGTAGAAAATCACAGTGAGTACATAGATATGTATGTTAATAAAGGGATTTCTGTACATACAGGCCATGGCGATTATTTTCAGGAACTGTACCTACAGATACACTTCCCATTTAATGCATGCATTTGGGAGAGAGGCAATAGGGCCCAGCTAACGGGGGTAATTTCTTTCTCTTCATAACATATTCAAGAAGCCTTCTGCCCTTGAATATTAAGGTATGGGGACTGGGAATAAGATAATTTGACACTTTTATAAGTCTAAAGCACTTAAAGATTTCTTAACTTTTGAAAAAAGAAATATATTGGTGGATACGGTCAAGTTTTTTATTGTTACAAAGTAGACTAAATACTGATTGTTGCTCTGGATATGGCTTATGCTATTATATAAACTATAATTTCACTTATCTGTTTTCTGAGTTATATGGAAACAATATAAAAATCAACATGATAATGTGATATTCTAAAGTAATATTCTGAGGTACTTGGCTTTTCAGGTCCTTAGTGCTCTTTATCAAATATTCATATTGGCTTATAAATTTCACAGATCCTTTTTTAGAGCTCAGAAGAAGCTGTAGAAATACTCAGTTTATCAGTAAAAGTTATTGGAAGTTGATTTTGTTTTCAGTGGTTTTCTTTTTCTTGTATGTGCTGAGCACCATGAAGGCACTTTGAAGAATCCAGCAGATTTCCCAAGCACAACTAAAGTTTTAAAGTGTTTTAACAAAAAAAATGATGATTTTAAGTCACAAAGTACATATTAGTTACAGAGACTTGGATATGAAAGCTTAGATCTGAAAGGGACCTTAGGAAGGGCACATATATATCACTGCTTTCTTCTACTCCGCAAGACACAGAAATGTTTGAAAAAATATAGTTTATGGAGTGTGGAAATAGAGGGCCCTTGGAGTCCTCAATAACATGACAGTTTGCAAAACAGACTGCTAAAATTCTATCAGTTTCTGGAGACACAGTGTTCTGAGGCTAATGTCAAAGGTAGGCTTCACAAAAGTAAAGTGATATTTTCCTCCAGATTTTTTGAACTCAGATAATGTGTCTTTTAGCTAGGTTAACTCCTTGAGCAGTATTTTCTTAATGAAATGACTAATCTCTATTTTTAGTTGTTAAAAGTTAGCTATAGAATCAGACATACAGAAGATGACCAGATGTTGTTTGAATGAAGTAAACTGTCAGTTCAATTTTCTGAATTGAATCTTTAATATTCTTAAAACTATCTTGTGTTCTGTGAACCAAGTATACAATTGTAGTTTTTAAAAAACAGAAAATTCAAGAATGCATATGAGTACTTCTAAATACAAAATACATATTGAGGGCAAACTTTGTTAACTTCTGTTAAGGACATAATATGCATTTCAATCTCAATGTTGAGGGAAAATTGGAAACCTACCCGTACAGTTTAAGACTGCACTCAGGTGACTTAGTAGGTATGCACATATCAGCCTACACCAGAGCTAATCTCCATTAGGACATTGCATTTTTATGATGTCTAGTAGACATAATGCAGGAAATATCATATTTTGAGGATAACACTCATTTAAAACTAAATGTTAGTTATGACCTTTTTATGTGTTTTTCTTTCTAATGTGGCACTGTGTATTAATAAGCCTCTAAAAGTAATATCCTCTACCTGGTCATTTTCTACTGAGAACTCCTACTTAAATTAGCAGCAGAGGAAATTGAAGTTCCATACTATAAAACAATGTAGTGTTCTGCTTTTCTTCTATAAAATTAGAGTGCATAAAAGAGGAAAGAGAATTTTATTTTGTTCATTTTATATATACATATCCAAGCTGAATTAAAAAGAATATTATTTGGTCTTATAAATCAAGTATATCACAGTTGAAATCATAACAGATCATCACTTTGTTATTATTGCTGTTTTTCAAAAGTATTGGGGAATATGCGAGTATCTACCCAGATGCAGTAAATATTAAAGTCAAATTGGCTGTATACACATGTAATTCTTATTTCTCAAGTATTTTGCAGGTTTCTTCATATGTCACTATGTGTATTTAAATATTTTTACAGGATAAAGTATTTTAGGGGAAATTATTGACTCAATTTTTTAAAAATTCAAATTATTTATCCTACATCTGGACAAAGTCTATAAATTTTTTTTAATAATAAAAGCAAACAGTATGGAATAAAAGCTTGTCAGAACACATTACTTTTAAGATTAAGTGATTTTCATTACTGCCATTTATTCAACAGAAAGTCATAGTCTGTTCTAATCTCTCATAATTGTTAGGAGCCTGTTATTAGTCATCAGAATAAACTTTCTGGTTTTAAATCATTTTCAGAGAATAAATTCTTTTCATTGGCAACTCAGTGAATTATCATGGCCATAGAAAAGGTTGATCTTTTTTTCAAAAAGTATTTAAATAAGGTAGAGTCTAATGGATAGACTAGATTTCTCAGGGAGATATTTTTTGGTAATCAACATTGTAAAACTGTAGATAGGAGGCCAAACAAGTAGAGCTAGCAAACAGCAAAGCAGAACCCAGGAAGCAATCTTAGAAAAGAACTTAAACACACTGTCGCTGCTGCTCTGATTGCATTTGAGATCAGGCATTTATGACAATAAATGCCATATTATGGGAAAAAATGTAATGAAAAGATCCAAATGCAATCTGCTTAGGTCCAACAATGGAAATCTGGTCAATCATAAATACCAAGTTACCCTTCTAGTCCCTTGAGAAAAGGAGGAAAAGTATCTCTTCTGTCTGTACTGAGAATATTTAATTATTTTTTTCCCCTTCATTAATGGGGATTGAACCCCGGGTCATGTGCTCCATCATGGAACTACACTGTCGGTATTCTCTTTCTTAATTTCACTAGTATACTCTTATCTCTAGCTTGAGTTGTGTGACCTCTGAATCATTTTCCTTTTATAATTATAAATAATTTTATTATAAGTTAAAAATCTAAATTTTAAAAATTTATGTATTTTTGTCAGTTTTTACTTAGAAATTATTTAGAAAACAATTTTTTTCTTTTCTTTTTTCTTTTTCTTTTTGGTGAATTTGCTTAGTTTGAGAATTTTCCTTAGAAAAATTTCAATTATAGATACTATCTTACTTCTGCCCTAAAGGAACATATCTTAATTTACTGGAAATTTGTTAACCCCTTTCTATTTTTCACTGTGTGGTTGACAGTTGCATTTGGGTCAGCTTCATAAAATCTGAAAGTGTCTTGCAAGAGTTTTCCCAGGTAATTACTTGTCTCTCAAGAAGTGTTCCCAAGATGATGTATGCATATATTCTTAATTACTGTGAACTCCTCTTATGAAAACATCCCCTCTAATTACTTTAAAAAGTCATCTTTCATTAAAGTAATTTTTTTTTAGCCACTTAGTGGCATATATTTACAAAGTTATAACTTCTGGTAATTTTGAATATGTAATGTTTAACCAGAATGTTATTTGCATTTCTGTTTCCTAATTCTAACCTGGCTTCTTCTCTGAGATGTGAATCTTACTCTTGTGAAATATGGAATCAAGAAGACACATAAGCAAAAGTCTAGTGAGAATTAGGGCAGAGCGATTCCTGAGGTGTTGTATACCACATCACTCCCATTCAGGTCTTGGTTCATCCCTGACTCACTGTTCCTGGGTGTGTCTGTTTGGCCTTGGGAGTTATTAGTAATACAGCCAATATTAACCATCTGTTGGGCCCGTAGCTGCAAAAGAGAAGGCGGATAGATGATGTGGGGGTCTCAGCTGGTAGTATAAAAGTAGTACTGAGGTATAGGCTTGTTCACCAGGACTCTACAGTAAGTAGTAGCATTGAACAAGTCTTTGTGCTATCCCAAGTATTTTTATTAATTTAATAAAAGATAGGAAGTAGTAGTCATCTGGTGTTTTCTTTAAAAAAAAATCCAGCATCTTTATCCAAATCTCTAATCATGCTTAAAATAATGTTTTACACCTTGGTGAATCAGTTTGCTGTCTGAATGATTTTCATTGTGGCATTGTGTTACTTCCATCCACATCACTTTGCAACCATGTCCTGGCCGGCTAAGTGTCATTCATGTGTTTTGCATCATTGCCTTCATTAGGCCAGGATCATCTCTCTCCCCTTTCATTCTTAGAATTTCAGTCAAAATTAGTTTCTTCCAGGAAGTATATTTCACCTAGTCAGATTTAATGACATCACTATCCTGTGGTATTAAATTGAACATCTTTTCTCTGAATAAAGTGCATTATATGTTAATGCATATTTACATTTGAGTATGTGTGTCTGAGAAGGAAAGGTGGGAGGGTGATGAGGTAGTGGAGATGAGGGAGGGAGGGAGAAATAGAGGGAGGGACTTAGAGGAGAGGGGAGAGAGAGAAGAGAGACAACTTGTTGAAATTGTAATGCAAACTGTTGCTCTGCCTATATAGGAAAAATATTTCTATGCCAAACTTCTGGTGCTATCCAGAGAGATAACACATTCTAGAGGTACACTCACTTGCTGCTTCTACTATTATCACTAACTCTGGTGATACTAAGTATGTTATTTTCAATGCACTTACTTAAGGGGAGAAGAGAATATAAAAGGTATCATTAAGAGAAATTTTAACCTTATTGTAAGACAGTTTTTAATGCTTCCTTGACTTACTTGATAACATTTATGGGGGAAAAATAGTATTTTTAAAATTTTAATTACCCCAATTTAAATAATACTCTTATTTAATAAATTCATGCTGCAATGATTTGAAGGCTCAGAATATTGGACTCAGCTTAAATCTCAGCTCATTTTATTAGACTTGGCAAATACAGCCTCTGAGTTATTTTTTCCCACATGTTACATGGAGATGCTAGTATTCCAAAGAATCCATGTGAGGACTGGATGAAATGGCTAACTTTTCCAACATGACACCTTCCACATATTTAGCATCCTAGATGGCACTGACATCTGTTTCCATCCCTTCCACTTCCTCCTATTTCTTTGACCTTATTTCT